CACGGATTTACAAATTATAATTTATATGCATGCGATGAATTAGCACATCGCCGGGTGCGGCATATACATTTATCCTTTATTATAAACTTAAAAATAATTTAACTAGAAGATTTATCTGATTTTTATATATAAAAACTTTTTTTAGATTTTTTAGATATACTCTCAGTAGTACAAAGGTGTAAATCCAAACCTTATATAAATCCGGTTCGTCAAAATTATGACCCGGCTATCGATTGGATCAGATGCTGAAACCCTACTCTAAATTTTTTTTATTAATAATTGTACTATACATTTTTATTGATCATTACATAAGGTAAATGGGGTATTATGACGGTGTTAAAATTAATTTTATTTAAACTCTATAATTGAAAAGAAATGCAAGATATCTTGCGTTTGTATAACATTTATTAGTATCAAATAATTTATCGTTCGGGAGGTAAAGTGGTGGATCAAAAAATTAAAGTACCTACTCGCATTATATGAACCAAAAGATCATTTATATGATTATTTGGTACGCACGTAATCCAGTGATTAGAAACGAGTAATTAGAAACGAATGTTTCTTATATCCTTCGATCCATCTTGGTGAGACAAATTGAATGATATAAGAATCATTAGACTCTATTTGATAGACCCGCTAACTTCGATATTATGTGATCTGCCACTTTACCCACTCCGCTATATTAGCATACTAAGTAAAGTTATTCAGAAGATCAAAATATATATTTCTAAAAGCTTGATACTAATAACTTTTATGTCTTACAAAATATTAAGAACCAGGTTTTAAATTTTGGTTCGAACAAACCAGGTTTAATTTGGGTTTGGAACTTGTTATATAAAAACCTGGTTCTTAGGTTTTTAATTTGGAACCTAAAAGTCTTAGAACCTAAACCAAACCTAAACTAACTTTACCATCCCTACTTTCGGCATTTTCTTCTCCTTCTTTCACAAGAGCCTCAATCTGTTCCGGTGTATAAAGAACTTCAATTTGCTGTAGTGCCAATGCAGTGTTATGCGTGACTTTGGTCAGTTCCCATGTTGCTTTGTTCAATTCTCCACGCCTTTTGTGAAGGTCTACAGTTAATTTGAACTCTTCTTCCCTAAATTGTTGGAACTTTTCTTTATATTGCGCTATCTAATATTATCAAAACTTAAGTGTTTGTTGTGCTAAAAAGAATTAATATTCGCCAAAATAAGATCACTAAAAATACCTTTTCTTCTAATGCTGGTGCATATGATATCGGACTCTGTGTCGGTTTTGTAGGAATTAATGGAAACAAAGGTTGATGGGAGATCGGGGGCCTTGGAGTGGCTGGAGGAAAAGGAGATGTGTGAAACGGTGGCCTTTGATAGGGTGGGTGATGTTGAATTGGACTTCCCCTTGAATAGGGCGGGTTATACGGTGGCCCACTAAAATCCCTGTGATTATGGGGTGGTGGTCCACCAGCATTTTGACGAGAATGTGGAATATTATATGGTGTTCCACCACGATAAGGTGGTCTTCGATCATAAGGTTGAGGAGGTAGTAGTTGCGGTCTTCCATATGGTTTTAGATCTCTTGAATTACCAGCATACGGGACTTGTCCCCTGAAAGCTATCTGTGATTCCTCTTCTCGTCCTTCATAACGAGTGATACCTTGCGGAGGTTCTCTCATTGAGTATTCTGGATTTTGCGAATAGCTCCGTGAAGGTATATAATGGGAACTTGAGTAGTTATCCCTTTCTGAATAGGTAGTGTTTGAACGATATGGTGTAGTATCCCGAGGTCGATTATAAGTAGGAGAACTTGTACGGCGTTGGTCGCTTGTTCTGTCCATAGCAGGTTATATCCCTGGTATTTACAAAATTAAAATTGTGGATGAATAAACGACACAACAGAGTCTCATCACTTACAAACATTTTTTCCTGGTAATTATGTTTAAAAATAATGACTGCCTTTTATACTCAAATACCTAGAGTTTGAACTTAAAAAACTAACGATAATGTTGGTGAATTTCGTATTATACCAAATAATTTAAGGGCAATTCCTATTTTTTGATCTGGGTAAAGCGACCAATCACGTGAACAAAATTAATTTTGAATAACGTGAAAATTTTGGATTTTGGCCAGCATTACGAAATTAACTTATAATTTAGGCCGTGTCACATGTCCGAGTTTTTTGCATAGTTAATTATTTCACGTGAGTAAAACCAATAAAAGCATTTTTATTTATAGATACTATATTGTTAAATAACTAAAAATTTGGATTTATTTGAATTTTGTCCCTGCATCTAAACTAGGGATCACCATTTCTGCCAGCTTTACGAAGAATCTGATTACCGTAAAATTCCGAAAATCCTGAAAATCCGATGATGATTCCGATATAGTTCATGTGATTGTCAACCAATTATATCTCGAATTTTATCAAATTGGCCAATTAGATTGCAAAAAAAAGTTCTAAAATTTACGAAAAAAGATGAAGCCTTCGTTTTGTAGAAAAGTAAGCTATTTAAGTTTTTTTAAAGTATTGTAAAATATATAAAACAATAGTTATTGAAAATTAAAAAATATATATATAGTCAAACCTCTCTATAATAACACTTTGGTTTTAAAAATTTGTTGCTTTATCAAATATAACTATAAAGAAAATAGCTATAGAGAGTCTGACTATAAATCAAATTAAAAATAATGTTTATACGTAGTACAAAAATAGTCAAATAATTCCAATTATATAAGTTGAAGTATATTAACAAAAAGGTATAAATATAATAAAATTTTGCATTACTTTAATAGTCCTACGTTTTAGGCCTTAAAAATTGATTAGCACCCCGGGGACCAGCAATTTGCTATTAGACTTTTTACCGCAAATTACTTTATATTAATCACATGAATTCTCTTATAAAAGATTCAAAATCGAAATATTATTCACATGTAAAGGGTGTACATCTAGCGCTATGTTTCAAGCTTGAAACCAAGTTATAATGTGCAAATTAGAGAAGATGCACTTAGATATCACTATATAAAAAAAGTCCAAAAATTAAAATTAAATCAACGATGATGTCAGTTCAGAGTTAGGTAAGTTATTTAAAGGGGTGTATGAACCAGCACTTGTTTTACTAAAATAACTTGTATTACATGCATTTTTAAAAATCATAAACGGTATAAAATTCCAATAAAATTTCAAGTCGTTTAATGAGCTGACCGGGATCGACAGTCAACTTACACTAAGCGCTAATAATTAATTCACTTCACAAATTTTTAAAAACCTAAATGGTTTTTTCCTACGCAGACTGAAAAGGACAAACCTATAGAGAACTTACCAAATCATCATCAAGAACAGTCTGACGAATATGAAAACATAATTCTTAATACCGGTTGCTATCAAGAAAACCAAGAATTGCAATTATGTTTTACGAATAAGCGTGACTGGAGATTGTGCAAAGTGGAATTAGAGAAATTTAAAGAATGCTGGAAAAAAAACAAAAAGAAACAGTTCGATGAATCTGATGGGCGGCAATAAATACAAAATTATTGTTTATTAGACAGGAAACATGAATTCTCGAAATAATTTATCAATCAAGTTTATTTCCGAAAAGTCGTAAAGAATCTACTCAAATCAATAGAATAATAGCTCTTTAAATTTCGCGAATAATACTTTTTAATAGCGATTGATAATAAATTTGACCAGAAAATAACGAATTATGCATTGACATTAACCACAACGAGATAGTTTAGCATAGTGGTCTCTGCAAGTTTTTTTTTTTTCTTGCTATATACGAAATATAAGAAATGCAGGAATGAAAATCCGAAAATCCGGGTTTCCGGATATTTGGATTAATCAAGTATCACGTTCGTAATTTACATTTAAAAGGTACGTACATACGTACGTACTTTATTGTAGTTTTAAAGTCAGTCCATTATAAAATATCATATAAACTATTTTCTCAGCAATGCCACGAGCACGACATCGTAGAAAGAAATCAAAACAACAAATTCAACGTCCCAACCATAAATTGCCACCTGAACTTATCTCTGAAATTTTCGAATACCTTTGGGGTGGTATTCTTGACGAACCAGCTTATGAATACGAAATACCAAATGCAATAGACGATCATTTTTCGCAAGAAAGGTCGGACCTCTTCAGAGTGTCAATGGTATGCTCAGTTTGGCGACAAATAGCTATACCTAGAATCTGGCAGAAAGTAAAATTTCAACTCGATTTCGAGAGGGACTGGGAGTCTTTGTTCCAGTGGCTTATGGAAGGGGGTTACGGCAAATACGTCAGGCAAATTCATGTCGAATATGATTACGACCCTAAACAAAATGAAACTGCTCTTTCATTAGACGAAAAATTTAAGGGCATTGTTGAATTTACTGAAACTGTTCCTAGCATGCATACTTTCGCTGTGAGATTTAATTCTGCTACTGCTGATCATATCTCGGAAGACCTTCCACCAGTTATGGATAGTTTTTTTCATGAAATATCCGCCTCATGTAAATCTGTTCGACGTGTCAAAATTCATACTTCGGGGTTGCGTGGCCCAAATAAAGATGATACCTTAAATCTTCCATCAGTTAGTAATATCATATCAATGGTAACTAATACCGTGCGAGAAGTTGATTTAATGATGCATGTTGCAACTCGAGAAACAATTGAAGCTCTTTGTAATTGCAAAGGTGTTGATCGCGCGTTGGTCCATTGTTGCAGCTGGGGTGATACTCCTAGCGATTATTATACATTATTAATGTCTTGGAAACATTTAAAAAACCTGCAGATAGAACCTCCACATAACATAGACTCAAATTGGGAAGAAACATATACTAAATCCCTTCAATATCTCTCTGAAAATTGTGGTGATCAACTAGAAGAATTATGGATGCCTTTACGGGAAGAAGACCAAAAATTATTTTGTAATCTTGTCGAACATACGCCAAATTTGAAAGTGCTAGCTTTGGAAGGGAAAGATTTCGATAATGATGGACAATTCTTAAACGTGGTAGCTAGAACTACTCCAAATCTCAACTACATTCATTTATCATACTTTCCTGCTATCACAGGCAAGGATGTTAAAGTTGTCAATTGGGGTCAACTTATTGATGTTAACATAATGGGTTGTGAATCATTGGAAAAAGAATCAAAATTTTTTGATCGTGTAAAAGAAGAATGTTGTCCACAACTTAATATTCATATATATGATCTTGAAGGGAATGTGGTGGAGAATAGGTAATAAAGTTATATAGGAGATCTATAAAAGATCAATAGATGAATATATCGGTCGACCTACTAAATTGATCAAGAATTTCTTCGGTTTTGATCGGTAATACTGCTATCCAGTCGAGCCGCTGATGCTAACTCTTGTTCTATGGTGATTTTGAGTATTTGTTTTGTTACCTTTAGAATAATAGGAGTTTTTGGTTCATGGGCTTACTGATACTTTTGATCCGCGTTTCCTTGAATGCATCTATTTTCACAATTAAACATTTTATTTTACTAATTTGATTTCGCGGTATTAGGCAATCATATGATCAGGCGATTGGATTTATGTATGAATTTTATGATGATTAATGTAATTAATATATATACTGTACTCATAAGCAATACATTTATATTGGTTTATCAGGTAATTCAGGTAGTAATCCTGAAAAATAATAAAAAGTCCTAATGCAGTACCAATTGTAATACATTATTTTCTTTAGATTAACACTTGGATCAGATATTAACCGCATTACTATAAATAGAAAAGTTGCGTAATAAGAAATTACTATAACTGATAAGTATATTTCTTAAACCGTCAATTTAACTTCAAATATGCCACGATATACTTTACGATGCTTAATTAGATCAATCATGAATTTTGCAGGCAAATTTGCTTGCAAAACAATTTAAGAATAATTAGATTGTTGGTTATATTAAAAGTTTGTTTATAATTTACTTTTGATGTATTTCTAATATATAAGTTTTATAATTGGTTTTTAATTTGATTAATTTAAAGATTTAATACTAGTTAAATTGGTAATTTTGTATATTAGTTATATAACATGTTCTAATAATTGTTATTATTTATTAGTCAAATAATTGATATATTGGTTATCTTTAGTATAGGTGGGCATATATAATTATTATACAATTATAACATATATAAATTAACTTTTTTAAACTTTTTTTTTTTTTTTTTTTTTTTGTTGTAAATGTCATAGTTGAAACTTTATTTAATAAAATAGAAAAAAAAATTCTACATTAAAGATTTCAGAACTACATTTGTGCTACTA